AAACCGTAGAATACCAAATTTTATTAAGATCCTGAAAAACTTTTTTCAACAAACCATTTGGCAAAAAAAATTGAAACACACCTTCGAGAGAACAGAGATTAAGTTTCTGCTTATTAATTACTAACGAGGATACGTATAGAAAGAAAAACTTTTTTCTATGTACTTTTATAATGTTAAAATAATAGTGTAATGAAATAAAAACAATTTTGTGTGGCTCTGATGTAAAAAAAAATGATTGAAAATACCGTTCGGATTTACCCCGGTTTTCCAATTTTCCTGGGTAAATACGAACGGTCTGATATTATTAATAAAATTTTACAGAAGGCAAAAATCAAAAATAGTCTCTGTTCTAGTATTCATAACAAACAATTATAAATAATAAAATTAATTTTTAGCTTCTTTTTCTTCAAATACGAGACAAAATACTGAAAGAGTGTCATCTTTGATTTTCAATCTTTTTTGCAATACTTGTTATCTTTGTTTATGCTGTTGCTAATTAACAAACAAAAAATGGGATAATACTTAGAATCTCTTCAAGACGATCTGAGGTAAAAATTCTCATATCGAACTTATTTTTAAAAATTTTAATTAAGCTGAAATAATTAGCGTTCGGATTTACCCCCCGTTCGGATTTACCCCGACTGACCCTAAATATTAGATTTTATTTTATTTAATCTCAACCGGGATTTTTTATTGACATAATTATTATGACTTTTTACTGAAACAAGTAATTTGTATAAACTAGAAAATTTTTTCATAATATTGTATAAATTAAAATTTTTATATTTGATTTTACCCTATTGAAAAAAGACGTATAATAATACGTATAATAAATATGTATAATAATACGTATAATTATACGTATAATTATAATTCTATTTAAAATTTAATAATAATTTTATTTTTTCATTAGTATTAATAAATCATGTGAAAAATAGAATTTCTTTATATTGTTTATTTAAAAAATTTGTCAATTCAAGAAAGGTACAAAGATAACCACAATAATATAATAGTTAATTGTTAATTATTATTTGTCGTTATGCAATTTATCGAAGAAATTATAATAACAAACAAACATTCAACAGAAGGTTATAGGTTTAACAATTGTTTAAACAATTAAGTGTTGTTATTTTCTAACTTTTGATATACATAACCTGGCAACTAGAACATTTTTGCAAATTTTGTATTTAATTAAGCTGATTAATGTGACTTAATGATTTTTTATTGCTTAAACGATGGTTTAAACAAATAATTGTGGTTATTTATTAACATTCAACCAAACAACATCTAGAAAATTTTGTTTTTTCTTCATTTGTTATTTACAAGTTGAGTAATATAAAACGAAGATATTTTAAGAAATTCAGCAATTGTTTAAACATTCAATTTTTATTAACAATATTTTGATTCCGAAAAAATTGTTCTTAAGTAGCTTCTGTTAACGACAGTTCAAACTTAACAATAGTAAACAAATTTTATAAATTGTGGTAACACAGTTATTGTACCGTTTAATAATATACTTCATTAACAAAAGTATCAGTACTTACAAATCTTAAAAAATTAAATATTAAAACAATTTTAAAACGTGAACATAACCTAAAATTTGAACGCAATGTGAAACCTTTATCTATACACGTAATTTTACTTAAAAGTTTTATTAACAAAAGAACAGCTTTTACTTATTTAGGTAAAATAAACAGATATTATTTACTTACCTTAAATCTTGGTAAAAGGTTAAGTTTCTCAGCAAAAATAAGTGCCTTTTCTTGAAGAATTGGCCCGATAATAGGCTCACCTTTGTCTCTGGTTTCCTGAAAACAGTTAATCATTGCTTCGTCTAAAACACTGTCACCATAAAATTTAGAAGTCTTTCTATCGATGGTAATACTCGAATTTATTTTTTCTAAAACAAATTTTTCACGGGAACACATTTTGTAACACGACGATTTACTAATACCATAATCACGTTGTATCACCTCTGGCGAGACACCAGATTTCAATTTCTTTATTACTTTCGCTTGATCTTTGTAAGTCAGAAATTTTCTTTTCTTTTTTACGTCTTTTTCACTCATGATCACAATTTTCTGCAACACGATTTCACGTAGAATAGCGCCCTAGTTTGTGAACCCGCAAAGGTTAGAAATTAGTACTTCGTTGGTGGCGCTGGGTTGACAAGCTCAGCGCTCCCGCTTCCCCGCTCACCACCTTATCACCAAACCAGTCTACTGCATCAACGTCCACTGCAGCAATAGTTCAGTGTACTTGACACAAGTCCACTTGAAATACTGGCGCTCCAGTTTTAAGAAATTTTGCATTAATTTAGTTTATGTTTGTCTTAGGTTTTCAGGCTTTGTCGAATTTCAAGTATGACAGGTAATTCAGAATTCTGGGAAAAGTAAGGTACGAAAATGTTTTTGATTAGTTTAAATTAAAAAAATTGTTGCATCATCTAGTGTCAATTTTAGTGTGAATTATAAATTTAGTTTAAAAACTCACTCTCTTGCCATCCAACCCTCATCGAGTCAACATATTAAGTTTTCAATAGTTTTACATTATGTGTTTCGAGTTACAGTTTTTGTGGTTACAGACATACTAATAAAATCTGAATTATTTCTAATTAAATATTATTAAAGTTTAACAACAATAAGTTCAGTTTATTTCAAATTAGTTACAATAACTCGTTTTTCTACCATGGGTCCAATCATCAATGTAGAGCATATCTGTAAGTCATTTTTTATAATTGTTTGTGAGAATCTTTTATTATTTACTATTGTTAACATAATAACATTAAAAATAAAGCCAAAAAGTAAAGGTTACAGATATTATATGGAAATCAATTAATGTCAATGGTTTATTTAATTACAATATAATGTTTCTTTTATTGTTAATTTATTGATTACAAATTATTTACTGTTACCATGAACTCTCTTATTGCTGAAGAAACCATCCCTCTCTCCACGACCTGCATAACTGACTAACACCGGCACGTGCAGAAGACTTAATTAATAATTCTCATTGGTCGATCTTAATTAGTGTTTTATTAGTTATAAGATTGAGATTTGTTTATTTGAGATTTAGATATATTGGTAAAAATTCAAATTTTTTATCAAAAAAAAGTTGAAAAAAATTAATTTTAAACGGACATAATTTATTTATTTATTTAATTATACACGGGTTTACAAAACACCCTTTATAATACATAAAAATAGTAAAGAACAAAATAAAAGTAAAAATGAATAGTGCGAGGCTGGAATTCAATCAAAAGTATTCAAATATTTAGACAAATCATTCATAAATCTCGATTTACAATCACCAAAAAAATCTAAATTATTTGCATGATTTGCTTCTCTACAAAGTCGTACCAAAGTAGAATTGCTGCTATGATTCGTACGACTGAAAGGCACCGTAAACGTCGATCTGTTTCTTAATGTTCTGTAAGAAACCGACAGCGAAATCCCAGACAGTAATGCAGGACACTTAATTTGACCATTAAGTATATTATAAAAATATTGTAGATCAAGTCGCAAAAATCTATCATGAATAGAGGGAATTCTCATAATGGAACGTAGTTCCGAGTAATCATGACTATAATAATTAAACGGTATGTTAAGCTGTTGTTAGAAATATTAATAGTTAGAAACCAAAAAGTGTCGGTCGTTGACGAATATAATCGAAAATAAACTATATGAAGGAAAATTGTGGAGAGAGACCAGTACACGACACGCAAGCAATAAATACACATTCATATTGTACATAATCTGATTTTAATTATAAATGAATGTGAAATGACTTTTTTCTTATTTATACATATTTTAAAGAAATGTTATATAAAAGTTTTTAAAGAATATTGAATAGCGATAAAAGTGTATTTAATTTTATATTGACTGTTATTATTATATCCATCAGCCACGCAATCATACTAACTAATACTATTTATTAAAAAACAATTGCGTTGAACAGCTGTCTTGTAGCGAATCTTAAAAATCTATTTTGAATTCTTTCCAATCTCACCATATGATAATTATATTGAGGTGAGTAAATGACCGAAAGGAATTCATAGTGAGGTCAGACGAAAGAAAAAATAAATCTTTAAGAACGCAAAGATTAAAAAAGACTGAGGCTTTTCGCACAATTAGACCAACAACGGACAGAGACGTCTTTACAACAAATGAAACAATAATGCTGAAAAAATGTATTATTTTATCAAAAATATTAATATTTTTGATAAAACAATTTTTTTATGAATATTTCCTTTAAAAAATAATGTTTTTTCAGACATTTTGTTTGAAAAAATAATTCATTTTTTCCAACAATATTTTTGATAAAAAAATTAATTTCTCACCAATATGCTTGTTTAAGTAATACATTTTTTTACCAATATTTCTGTTTAAAATTAATATCTTTACCTTTTTTTGATAAAAAAATTAATTTCTTTCACTAATATTTTTGATAAAAAATTAATTTTTTTCATATATATTTTTCATAAAACAATTATTTTTTAATGAATGTTTCCTTTAAAAATTATTCTTTTTTAGCCATATTTTTGAAAAAATAATTCATTTTCTTAACCAATAATTCATTTAAAAATTAATTTTTTTACAAATATTCTTGATTAAAAAATCAATTTCTTTCACCTTTGCTACCGTTTAAAATTAATTTTTTTCAACAATAATATTTTTATTAAAATATTTTTTTTTTAAATACATTTTTTGGCAATATTTCCGTTTAACAAATAAGAGTTATGCTTTTGAATTAAAAAATACAGAAAAAATTGAAAGAAAATAAACTGAGAGTGCTGCCACCTACCTGCTGAAAAGCGCGGCTGTATTGAATTTATCCACAAATGTTGATTGTAAACTGTAATAGATTGAAATTAATAAAAACATTAAATTGTTATAATTATTTATTAATAATGTGTGTGTGATATGATATACGCATTAAATAATGTGTACATTTGACATATTACATTTGATGAAAAGTATATTTTTAAATAAACATTGCAGGTGTTGAAGCTGGAGATACGGCATTAAAACTAGCTCGCAGATGGGGATACAGAATTAAGCGAATTCCAGAAAATAAAGCTGATGTTCTTTTTTCAAATAATAATTATTGGGGACGTTCATTAGCAGCTATATCAGCTTCTACAAACCCATCATTTTACAATGACTTTGGCCCATTAATGCCTAAATTTGAAAAAGTTGCTTATGATGATCTGGATGCTCTGGAATTAAAATTTAAAACCAACCCCAATATTTGTGCATTTATGATGGAACCAATTCAAGGCGAAGCAGGAGTCATTGTACCAAAAGTAAATAACTTTTGTATAAAAAAATATTGAGAGATATAAATTTACGCAAATAATAAAAATTTAAGTCAAAAGATGCGATTGAAACAATAACAGTGAAGTACTGAACGGAAAATTCATTTATTGCGAACATTTTTACGTTTTGTATTATAGGAACTAAAACTTTTTTAAATATGCCATGTGAGACAAAAAGTTCAAACTTTGACCTCCTTTAGTTTTTACATTTGTTAAAATAAATTAATAATATTTGGTATTTGTAATTGTATATAATAAGAGTACAGTTTGTGCAAACTTTTATCCTGATCCCAGACGTTCCAAATTTCGATCTCGATCACTTCACGTGGAGTGCCACATAAATGAGGCATTTTACGTGTAATGTCCTAAGTTGAAAAATTGATTTCTCGAAAAAGGGAAACTTGGGGAAATTGTTGTTCTATACCTGATAGTAAAATATCCCCAAAAAATTTTTTGACTTTTTTCAAATTTTGGGGGAGAAAGAGGGGGGTCAATTTTATTAGTTTTCCCTGATACCGCCTACTATTTGAATTTTTGCTGTCTATAAATGCAGTAAAAAAATTTTGGCATGTATGTTTTCTAAAGGTTTTTTCATGCTCTTTTTAATGGTGAATTTTGTTTTAAATTTTTTTTGAATTTTAACCTTGAATTTCTATAATTTAACATAAATTTGCTATTTTCACAAAATCGGTCTGTTTTTTAAAATAAATAATTGCAAACGAAGGCTGAGGTTTTTTCCGATCTATATATAAATTTTCAGAATGTCGATTTTTTTTGTTTTCGAGATATTAAATATCAAAGATTTTATGTTTTGACCTATATGTTTTCAAAAGGTTTTTTTCTGCTATTTCCATTAGTGAAAATTTATTTTTTAAAAATTCAAAATTTACCTTTTTTTTGTGAATATCAAAAATGAAATATTTTACAAACAAATAAAATTACCGTGATTCTGAAGTGAGCAATTGAAAGTTGACCTAATTCCGCAAACAACGAGCAACAAAAGATCTTATAGTACTACTCTTCAGCTTTAAAAGTCATTTTTTAAAATTATTTTATGATTTTTAAAAAAAAAGGTATGACATTTTGAAATTAACACTTTTAGTAATGTTAACATACACTTTGGCCATATATGGCCACTTTAGAAAAAAATATTAAACATAATTCAATTTTTTTGTTAATGAGTATTTATTAAGGTTTTTAGGGTCACTGAATCAAAATTTTAAGTCAGATTTAAAAAATTCAAAATGGCGGACACAATATGGCGTCCAAAAAATTAAAAATTTACCAGTTGTACTTGAAAATTGTCCCTTGGGGGTTTTTGGGGTCACTAAATGCAAATTTGAGATGAAATTTAAAAATTGAAAATGGCGGCCAAAAAATTAAATTTTTTTACTGCATTTACATGAAAATTGTGCCTCGGGGGTTTTTTGGGTCACTGAATCCAAATTTGAGGTCAGATTTAAGAAATTAAAAATTTATATTCATAGACCCCAAAAACCCCCGAATAACGATTTTTGAACGAATCGAACCAATTTCAAAATGTTCCGCTATATTGGGTCCGTCATTTTGGTTTCTAAAATCTGACCTCAAATTTAGATTCAGCGACCACAAAAAATTTTAATACGGTGATATGATATATTTTTACACTAGTAGGATCATTCTTTATTTTTACCTTTGTAACGGGTTTTTGATTTATAATTAAATAAACTTGCATCTAACTCGCCAATTCCACAAATGAATAATTTACTAAAAATTTTAAAAAGGGATTCGCCGAAAACAAGAACTTCTGATGCGTAGACGTTAAGGCAGGCCGAATATCTCACCACGCTTACCTTGAAGACGTTCAGCTGACTCTTGACCTGAAGCCGCTTGCCAGAAATGGAAAAATACTCAATGAGGAAACTTTTAATTAATTACGCCAATCTCGACGATTAAAACACAACACTTACAAGAACACTATTTATTTAGTAACGAGAAAAACTAATATAAACGAGTTTCCAATTACTTACAAGCTTGCGGCAAGTTAACAGCGCAAACTTGTTGCAAGCTTGTCTGAGCTAGCGAAATGTCCCACCCAGGGCAAGCTTGCCGTGAAAGCTTGCTGTAAGCTTTCCAGAAAAGGTTGCTGCAATCTTGCCATGAAAGATTGCTGCAAGCATACTAAGAATGATTGCGGCAAGGTTGCCGTGAAAGATTGCTGTAAGCTTGCTACGTAAAGTTGCAGGAGAATTTCAACAAGCTTCTGGAAAGGTTGCTGCAATTTTAAAAAAATACATTTTAATTTTTAAAAAAATTTATTTGTTTTTTTTTTAAATTTGAAAATCCTTGTGACGTTTATTATTACTAATTATATCCTGTTTATTTTCATTTGGAAACTTAACGAGAAAATTTTCGAAACAAATTTGAGGGGACTGGGAATTGAACCCGGGTTCGACAGACACTAACCAAAGACCCTAACCGAGAACCTACTCCACCAACTATCAGAGAATAAAAAAATCTTGCTCTTAACCCTCGTTTTTCAACTCATAAAAACAGTCGAGGGTTAAGAGCAAGATTTTTTTATTCTCTGATAGTTGGTGGAGTAGGTTCTCGGTTAGGGTCTTTGGTTAGTGTCTGTCGAACCCGGGTTCAATTCCCAGTCCCCTCAAATTTGTTTCGAAAATTTTCTCGTTAAGTTTCCAAATGAAAATAAACAGGATATAATTAGTAATAATAAACGTCACAAGGATTTTCAAATTTAAAAAAAAAACAAATAAATTTTTTTAAAAATTAAAATGTATTTTTTAAAAATTGCAGCAACCTTTCCAGAAGCTTGTTGAAATTCTCCTGCAACTTTACGTAGCAAGCTTACAGCAATCTTTCACGGCAACCTTGCCCTGGGTGGGACATTTCGCTAGCTCAGACAAGCTTGCAGCAAGCTTACACAGTTAACTTGCCGCAAGCTTGCTGCAAGTTTCCGTGTTATCTCGGTATATATATATATATATATATATATATATATATATATATATAACACATCTGCTTTATGCGAGTCTTCCGCATTCAGAGGTGTTATATTACATCTATCTTTCACTATTAACATCGTGAATGACTCATATGTATGTAATGACCTTTATTTAAAAGAGATAATTTAATTTGTTCATGATCCAACTTTTAAGAATTTTTTGGTACCGGGATGTAACAATAGGTGTTGGAACATTACCAAGTGCCTATTCTGGCTTTTTCTAGAAGGGAAGTCAATGCAATCAGCCGCCACTACAGTCTAAGGTCGTTCCACAATCACCTACATATTCCTCAGACACTTTAACACACTGTGATCCGTTATGGCCTTGAATTTAGAACCTTTCACATATGGCCTAAATTTCAGAATTGCCCACAATAGGGCCAAAAATTCTCTTTCAGTAACGCTATAATTGCGTTCCGCCGATGTTAATGCTCTACTGGCATAAACAATGGGATTTTCACCAACATCAGTCTCCTGTGTAAGCACAGCTTCAATCGCTAAGTCACTAGCGTAACATTGGATAGTGAACGGCTTAGTGAAATCAGGACGGGCCAACACTGGTTGCGAAACCAATTTCCGCTTCAACTCTTGAAACGCCTCTTGTTGGTCACTTTCCCATTCCCAATTCTTACTTTTATTAAGTATTCGCAAAAGTGGTATTTTTAGATATTTCAGAACCGGTGCTATTTCATCCGGATTTGGCCTCAAACCGTCTTTATCCAATACATATCCCAAGTATGTTTCGTTAGGACAATTTCTAACTAATAAAGATGTACTTGATAATCGTTCGTCACGATAATGATGTCATCCAGGTATCCGGAAACAACTGGTTTAAATTCTGGACCGAACAAAGAGTCGACCAGCCGCTGAAATGTCATGGGCGTGATCGTTAGTCCTAAGGGCACTCTTTTAAATTGGAATAACCTTAAGCCTGGAATTGAAAAATCTGTGTACTTTTTGTTCTTACTTGACATTGGTACCTGATGATAGGCCATCTTCAGATCTATCTTGGATATATATCTGGCCTTCCGTAATTTATCCAAAATTGAATCCACGCTAGGGATCGGATAAGCGTCTCTGATGGTTACTTCGTTCAGGTCTCTGTAATCGAAACATAGACGTAAAGTACCATCACTTTTTTTAACAACCACTGGTGATGAGCTCCACTCGCCACGTTTTTATAAGCCCTGAGTGAGTTTTTCTCACTCGCCAGCAACTCATTTTGTAAATGACTCAGAGCCATCTCACTGGGTGATCTCTCACCCCTACACTCTTTATCTCTATTTTAAGCCTTAAGTCAGTCCTTCTCTCTCGTCCTCTTCTCAAATGAAGTCTGTTGGACAGACCTCACTTTGGGTAAACACTTACCCCTCCTCTTTTTCACACTTTTCTCATTTTGAGCCTTGAGTGAGTCCCCTTACTCGTCATCTGCTCAATTTGGGTCTGTCTCACAGACCTCACACTGGGTATACACTCACTCCTCCACTCCTTCTCTCTCCGTTCCTGTTGATGTTTCAGTGGGTCCTCCTTACTCTTATCAGAATACACCTTCTCTTGCACTCTCAGGAACATTTCTTTTCTTATGGTGACTGAGCCTAGGGTTGGGGGGAGTGTTTATCTGCCCCCCAAACTCGTTTCCTCACATTGCTCGTAATGGGGTGCAATTTCGACAATTTTTAATCACAGTGCCTTTTGGTCTCACAGACCTGACACTGGCTATGAGAAGATTTAGATTGTTAATTCGGGCATTCCAAAGCAAAATGTCCCTTAACTCTTCAATTAAAGCAGACCCAAACATTGGGACGCTCTGTGTCCCACCACCTGACACATGTTGCAGATGCCGAAAAATGGCCGTGGTTCCGGTACAGTACCACTGATCGTACTTGTCTCGGGTCCTTTTTGTCCCGTAAACCTCTTTGGAGTCACCCCTACGAATACCTGTCTTGCTGACCGTTTTGCCTCGGGTTTATTTGCTCCCGCCTTC